GCCTTCCTCCATCCAGCAGCCTTCCTCCATCCAGCAGCCTTCCTCCATCCAGCAGCCTTCCTCTCTGACTACAGACCTGTAAGTTTCCACCATTAAATGTTCTCCTGGTTTCATCTACAGATTGGTCATCTGTCCTCATATTTTTGTTCATCACGTGTTGATCAACACTCAGATATTGATGCCCTCTCTGATACAAGATCTGTATGTTCTAGAATACGTTCTCAGATCAAGATATCATTCATTTTAACACTTCAGTTATATAAATATGTTCATAGCTTTATTAAACATTAAATTATCCAGCTTGTGTGGTGTAATACTTTTTTTAAAATAACATACATCTCTGTATTTTAGAACTAATCTGTAAATAGTTGTTTACAGTCAGATGTAGGTTCTGCCTCTGCTATTATTAATGCTCTATTTATTTTTGATTCAGGAAACAAAGATGGGAGGCTCTCAAAGCGTAATTAATAATATCACTATCAGTCCAAATATAACTAGAAATGCCTTGAGGCAGGATCCTGGGAACCACATTCCTTTTAAAGTGAAAGTGGGAGCTGAAGAAAAGTCTTTGTTACTCCACTACTCCAATGAAGAGTGTGATTACACAAATGCAATCACCAGGATCCAGTTTTCCTTCTCAGAGCGAATGGCTGAAGGTCTGGAAGCTGCAGGGTTCACCAAGATCGAAGTGAATTGGAATCCTAGCAAGGATGGTAGCCCCATCTACATGTGGTACCTCCAAGGTAAAACTCCATATGATATTCCAATCGTGGATTTAAATTTTAGCTGTGATGCAGCAGATGATGCTCTACTACTTCAGCCTTTGTGGGAGAGGTGTTCCATTGATGTGGACCGGGATGTTGGAGGAAACTGGTTCCACCTGTGGATGAAGAGGGCACTTCGACCCTTCATCTGTGATGTCACCACCTCTGATAACAGCGCTTCAGACGCTGAATTGTTTCGTCAAGGTTACACCCGAATTGATGAAACCACCAACAGAGGTGCAGGAGGAGCGGATGTCTTCATCTTTTACCGTCAGACCCCTTATCCTGTCGCTCTCGAAGAAGGTCTGGCAATCAGAGATCTGCAGGTCTCTCTTAATCAGGAGGAGGAAAAAACATATAAGAGTCAAGGGTATGATCGAGCGCCAACCAACCTGAACGAGGGAACCGCTGGGCCTCATGTGTTTCTTTGGTACAAAAAACAGATCAGCAAA